ATTAACCAATGATATTTTTGCAATATCACGGGATGATCTACAAAAATCAGCCAATTACAATGAAAGCCCGCTATGCTAATTTACACTAGTTAGGTTGGTATTTTCGCATAAAGCTTCGGCCAGCAGTTTGCTTGCTAATCACCTATTCTATTATTGCTTAAATCTAAATTAGTTAAGGAGGTATTTTTGCATAAAACTTTGGTCAGCGCTTTTCCTCCTGATTCACCTAGTCCATTACCACTTAAATTCAAATTAATTAAGGTGGTATTTTTGTATAAAACTTCGGCCTGCGCTTTTCCTATTAATTTACCGAGATTATTCGGACTTAAATTTAAATTAGCAAGGGTGCTATTTTTGCATAAAGCTTCAGCAAGTGCTTTTTCTACTGATCCACCTAGTTTAATATTACTTAAATCTAAACTAGTTAAGGTATTATTTTTACATAAAACTTTAGCCAGAGCTTTTCCTGTCAATTTATCCAAGTCATTATTACTTAAATTTAAATTAGTTAAGTTTGTATTTTTGAACAAAGCTTCAGCCAATGTTTTTATTTCGTTATTTAAATTTATGACAAAAGGGTAGTATTATTATACAAGTGCTTTTACTGCTTCATCGCCCAGCTTGTTGTTCTCTAAATTCAAATTGGTTAAGTGTGATATTATCAGCCAGTGCTTCAGCTATCCTTGTCCCACTCCATTTCATAGTTTTTTTGAACTCAAATCCGAATATTTTAAGGTGGGATTTGTACATAGAGCTTCAGCTAGAGCTTTTCCCACCTCAAAACTCAGCTTATCATGATTCAAGTTTAAATTGCTCAAGTAAGTAATCCGGTAAATGGTTTTAGTTATTGACAAGACATATTGTTACGAATAGAACTATTAGTAACTCTATACAATAACAATTTTTTTTCATTTACTTCTAAAAATGTATATGGTTTTAGTACCATTCTATTTTCATAGCATGTAATCAACTTATTTCTTTGTAAATATTTTATCATTTATTCTATTATGGAAATTGAAGATGGCTTAGTGGCTTAGATGCATGGAATCAGATGAACCACATAAACACCGAAAAATCCGCGTATATGTGGTTACACTGAAACTGTGCCTTGAGATCTTTCAATGTCTACGTTGTTTTTTCGGTGTATATCTTCAAATTTTCACGTAAACCTTGAAATTTGGGTGTAAACCTTGAAATTTCGATGTTTACGTGATGGAAAGATAAAATGTATATAAAGACCATGAATTTAATAAACGAAAGGATAGTTCCTTGTCCAGTTTCAATTACCATTAAATAGTAAAGCATCTACTTATCGGAATTTTCCCTTGAAACTTTGTTGTTGAATTCGACTTGTAACTTTAATAAACCCTTTCGACAGACTGAATTGACTTGTAACTTCGATTTGGCTTATTAAGACTCGGATTCTAGAACACCTCCGACAGTTATAAACAACTCCCTTCGTTTCTCCAAGTTTATCATTATCTCCCCGTACACCGTTGGAGTTAAATTGGCCTTCTCTCCATATTATTTCATAGGCTCTCCCATCAACGGTTACAATATGGATATGAATCCAACATTTCTTGCTAATTGATTGATATGAATTTATATATAGCGATAAATTCATAAATTTGATATTAGATTCGTATTCAAGCAAGAATACAAGTTAATGATATTAAATAGTTTGATTAATATTATTTCAATAAATAAATGTACAGCAAGTACTAAGTTTAATAGCAAAGCATACCATTTTTAAATAATTTTCTTCGTTTAGTTTCATTTTATAAATATAATATCATAAATAAGTTTAGCTATATTCTTAGATCGATAAAATAATTAAATATTAATTTAAACTTACAATCACCATTTTTATCGATAGTGCTTCTTTGAAATCGATGGGTTTATCGTTGAATTCGGATTGTTAGTGTTTTTAAAGAGTTCAGTACTGTATGTCAATATCCATTTAATTGGAGCTAATTTATTATTTTAATTTTTAATCATAATTTTTAAAAAGGTAATGAACCTACTTACGTAATATTATTAAACGAATAACTTCTAATCTACAGTGTTTGATTGATGCCGAAGATCTAGAACAGTGTTGGGTAAATCAATGGTCAAGCAAAAATTTGCTGGTCAAATTGGTCTGGTCAAATTGGTCAAATGATCAAAACTGGTCAAATTGGTCAAGTCTATTATATAAAAATAATACATATGCTATATAATAAATTATATTTAAAGATGCTATTTGACCAATTTGACCAATTTGACCAATACAAATTCTTTGACCAGACTGATCAAATGGTCAAATTGGTCTGGTCAATTGGTCAGACTGGTCTGGTCAGCCCAACACTGATCTAGAACTTTGAAATAAACCAGAAAGCATAGAGTCTGTGGTAGGATTTAATAATTCACTGTGAGTTTTATAATGAGGATGCATATATTTAGTAACGAATTTCTTGGGCTTAAATAATTCTTATCGTTTATCTTCACTTTTATAAAAATTTTACCTACTTTCCAATAGCTAGAATTTACTTCATCATATATAGTTGGCCTTTTTAAATGATTTGAATGTAACCTTTTTGCATTAAAATAGCCCAATATTGTGTGTTCTGTAATATTTGGGCGTAATGGTACTATTTTTTTATCATAAATATTAAACATAAAAATGTACGTACAGTATGTCATACGCCCGATCACATAATCATTCCTAAACTATAGCGATAGATACCCGAACTAAATTAATACTGTATGGCTTTTTGTTAAGCACATCAGATGCAATATATGAAATAATTCCATATATTATAAGTTTTGAATTATCCAAATCATCTTTTGCTTGTCAAATCTGCAATTATGGAGGTTGCAGAACCATAGCTTTTTGGTTTACCTATTAATATATTTTCATAATATATATCACGATCAGTGTTGGGCTGACCAGACCAGTCTGACCAATTGACCAGACCAATTTGACCATTTGATCAGTCTGGTCAAAGAATTTGTATTGGTCAAATTGGTCAAATTGGTCAAATAGCATCTTTAAATATAATTTATTATATAGCATATGTATTATTTTTATATAATAGACTTGACCAATTTGACCAGTTTTGATCATTTGACCAATTTGACCAGACTAATTTGACCAGCAAATTTTTGCTTGACCATTGATTTACCCAACACTGATCACGATGTATAATTTTATTTTCATGAATCCATTTGAGGCCCGTAACAATATCCCTAAGAAAGTCGAATTTCATATTCCAAGTAATATCTTTAAAATTATTAGATAAATATTCATTTAGACTTCCATTAGACATATAAGACATAATAAAAAAATATTCTTTTGTTTTTGGATTTGGTGACACTTTATAACATTGAATAAGGTGGCGTTTATAAGAGTTAGACTGACTTTTAACAATACTTTGTAACTGTGGCAAAAAAATGACAAATTTTTAGAGTAATCTATTAATAATACTTTGTAACTATGGCAAAAAAATGACAAATTTTTAGAGTAATCAATATAAAGTCATCCATTATTACCTCTTTTAAGAATGCTGAATCGATATTTTGGGAACCCTTAATAACTTTTAACATAACTGATTCTTTTTCACTTCAATTGAAGCTTGGAGCTGTTTCGTTTATGTATCAATCTAGATTTTACTAACAATTACCCGTTCAATTCGTTTAATATTTATAAAATCATTAAATGGTATCCATTCTGATCTACATGTAAAATGAGGTTGATTCTTATACATTGCCCTGATTAAATTGTCAATATCTTGGTTTCCAATATGTACGAGTTTTTCTTTACTTTGCATTTTTATGTCTAAATATAATATTAACATGTAATTCGGATAATGTGAATAACACTGGTTCCCTTTCAGTTTGTTTTTAGATCCAAATTAATTTAGTAGAGTATTTTAGTCGTGAAAAATTTTTTAAAAAAGTCCCGTATCTTCTAGAACTTTTATTTAAATGCAGTCCAACTATCATAACCATATATATGTTGTAAAGGGAAACAAAATGAAAATTCGAGTTGTGCTACAATGTAAAATGTAAATATTTCTGTAGAACATTACAGTATCACAAATGTTGTAGCTGTGCACTTGCCTATTTAACAAATTTGGTCGATTGAAAAATTCACCAAACGACTTGTGATAACTTAAAAATTTGAAAGAAATAATAAACATGTCAGCATCCGATAGAATAAAGAAAGCAGTAGAAATAAATGATAGTCTAGTCTATGGTGGAAGCAAATTAGACGTTGCCAAAGGAGCATTAAATGCTCTTGGAATGGTTGGAGATGCAGTTAAACCATACGTTCCTTTGATAGCAGTCGTTGCATCATTAATTGAAGAAATAGTAACAATTTATGAGAATGCACAATACAATAAAAAAATTTGTAATTCATTACTTGATCGAGCTAAATCAGCTGAAGCAGCTATGGATACATTGTCAAGAAGACGAAAAGAGAATGAAGAAAATTTTCGAAAACAAGCTTATTATGATGATTTCGTAAAATTTAAAAATGCTTTAGAAAAAATAAGGAATTTTGCAGGAGAAGTAACACAACTTAGAGGTTATAGTAAATATCTTCATGCTAATAATGTTAGAAAGAAATTCTTGGCATTAACAGAAGAGTACGATACATGTATGAGACATTTGCATTTTACTATGGTGATTGCTCAAGAAGAACAGTCAAGATATGATCATGAATGCTTGGAGCATGATCTTGCTGAAATGAATGAGGTATGAATTTGATAAGATTAAATAAGATTAAATAAAAAATATTTACAAGTTTAACTAATATTAACTTTTAACATTTAACTAATATTAACTTTTAACATTGATAATTATTTTCATTATAAGTTTATGCAACAAATTAAAGGTGGAGTCGATGATAATCAAAAACAACTGAACATGATTTATCAAGAAATTGTATCAATTCAAACACATATGCAACAATCGGAAAGAAAATCACAGAATTCAATGAAAATTAATGCGCCAAAAATTGAACCAAGTCAATTACAAAAACCAGAACCTTCAGAAGGAAATAATCAACGCCCTAGCCATCCTAGAATTATAAAAAGAATATACTTAAGAAATGCAACAGAAGTTGCATGTAAAATTAATGATAAAACAAGTGATAAATTATTACACTCACAAAAAAACCAAGGTTATTTGGCAATTCTAGGAAAATTAGGTGAAAGTCCAAATATCCTAAAATTTTATGGAACTTCAACTGTCGATAATCGTGAAGTCATGGTTTTTGAATGGGCAGAACTGGGAAATTTAAAAGAAGTTTATGAAAGTCGTGACATACCATGGGTCACGAAGATACCTATAGCTCTTGATATTTGTCGTGGTATTGCATTTTTAAATTCTGCTAGTATCTTTCATCATGATATCAGATGTGAAAATGTCATGGTAAGTTTAATATAATAATAATAATAAATTATATATTGTATTATACGTTATGCTTTTTTAAAAAATATATATTTTTTATATTTATTTTTTAAAATATATACTTTTTATACTTTTTATATATTTATATCGATAGATAACTAGTCGTCTAGAGCCAAAGTTGGCAAATTTCAAATTTGCTAGAATGTTGGATAGTGTTTCTTCGAATCTTGAAGATATTTTAAATGTTATTCATTGGTTGGCACCTGAAAAAATGTTTGAACATAAGTGTGATAATAATAAGACTTCTAAACGACCATACACACAAAAATGCGAAATTTTTAGGTATAATCCTTACTTCATTTTGTATTATTAATATTATTTATAATGAAATTCAATTTTATTATCGTTTATAGCTTTGGCATGCTTCTTTGGGAATTATGTTTTGAAAGGGTTCCATATGCTAATAAAGGCATGGATGATATTATATCTTGGGTTACAACTGGTGGTAGAGAAAAAATTCCAGTTTGTAAAGGAGATGAAAAAGATAAAGAAATTCAAAAAGAATTCGTAACTATTATTAAAATGGGTAAATAATATATATACATATATATATACAAATTTATTATTAGTTGAAATTATAAATTCTGTAAATTCTAACTAACATATGATATATTTATATATGCATTTCTTTTTTAAAAAACAAAAGCATGGCAGCATGATCCAGAAGCTAGAATTAACATAAGCAAATTATTTGTAATGCTTTCAAAGATGGCCTCAAAATATGTTATACCTGGTGCGCCTACTTATCTTTTGCCTAACAAAACTATAGATTATGGTCATCAGTCAGATTCATTGTTATTGGAAGAGAACGAATTTTATTTATCAGATGAGGAAGAACAGACTGAGGAAAAAGAAAATTTTCTATCAATAGAAGAGGGAATTAGACGTCATAAATTAAAAACTCCTGAAGATAGAAAAATTGCCTGGAAAATCTTTGATGTCAATGCAGAAAGAGGAGATTATACTGCAATGTATTGGAAAGGTGTTTATTTATGGGAAGGTCATCACATTGATAATAGAACTGATGAACAAATTAAGGATGACAGAAATAAGTCCCTTGAACTTTTTAAACTAACTGCCGATTACGGTATGCCAGAGGCTCAAATACGTTACGCGTTCGCTTTAAAAGAATTAAAATCGTTAAAAGAAAAAGAGGATCGTGATGAATTTATAAAGTATTTGAAAATGTCTGCTGATCATGGTCATGCTGTTGCCATGTTCAATATTGCTGATATTTACATAAATGGAAAATTGAAATATCAAAAAGATACAAAAGCCGGAATAAGATATTTAAAACTTGCTGCGTTAAACAAAAATGAACATGCTATCGCGTTGGCTAAAAAGATGGACTTAAATATTTATGATTCTGATTATACTGCTCCGTAAGTATCAAAACATCACCGCAAAATTCATATATTATCTGTATAATTAATTAATAATACCTTTCATTGAATAATATAGCCCATGTAGTGATAATTAGGGTTGCGACCCAATTAATTTTCTGAATTATGGTATTACTATGTTTTTTTTGGGATTTGGGAATTTGTATTTATACTTAATTTTGGTTCATAACTAAATATGTGTCCCATTTTTGATCAATATGTAATAACGTAAAACTCAAAGACCAATCAAATTTGTTAAATTAATAAATAAAACATATGTATATTTAATATCAAAACTAATTGTATAAACAGAGACTACGAGTGATTATTAATTTGTTTAGCTATACAATATAGGCTTTTGATAGTAGTGTAATAAGTTTTATTTAATGATTATATATCTGAAAAAACTTAAAACTCGATACCAAGAAAAATCAAAAATCGGCCTTGTAAATTTATAATTTAACGACTCAATTATACATGTTTTGAATCCGATATTTAAAAGCTCAAAGTTTAGCATTTCTTGGTGTCACTCATGTATTAAAAAAAAACTTCAAATATATTGATTGATACATAAAAAAATTCATATGTACTAGTATTTTATTTTTTTTAACGTACGTACTATCAAAATTTTAATTTTGTATACGTACGTCCATATTATTTATACGTACTGCTATACTATATAGATAAAATCAGTTACATTGTCACTACAGGTGTTAAAAGTCCGACTCGACTCAAATAGTCGAGATTTTATTAAGATCCAAACTTGGGACTCGAATCGCGTTGAACGTACATCTTGAACATTTAAATATAGCAAAAAAACATGTATTCATGCATTTCTTTTCAGTACTATTTTTAATATGCAAGATAACATGTGCAACGCGAGTTGAGTCCCAAGCCTGACTTGGGACCGGACTTCTAACATCCCTAATTGTCACGGATTACAATAAGCGCACTCTTGAATGTGTGCCAAGTTGGCGGCGTATTAATCAGCCAAAATAATTTGAGCCGTTTAAAAATTTTTAATTGTAAATTACCTGAAATGATGACAAATGACAAATGACTAGTCATTGGTCATTTCAAGGTCTAAATAACCTTAGGAAGTCATTTAACTTACGTTAGTTAATATTTTAACACTTTTTAACCAATCATCAAACAAAATTAAATTTTATCAAATCAACGATTTACTAAGCCAATTTAATGTTTATGCTTTAAGTAAATTGTTCGGGATAATAAATTGCATATAAGCTAAGTGCTGAGAAAAGGGACGAATTGACAAAAAAAATATCTTAGAAAAATCAATTTTTATGTTATAAATTTTATAATAAATCATAAGAAAATGCAAACTTTAAAGAGTTACACTGCAAAATTTTATTAATACAACTACTTTTGTGTTTTAAGTAAAAAATGGACCTAATCTTTTTTAGATGATTTATGTAAAATAATTTCTTTTGAAAAATTGTCAATTTGTCCCTTTTCCCAACACCTAGCTCATACGTAGATATTCTGAAATTTTTATTCAAATTGAATAACTTTTATTAATTCATTTCCACATTTACGATTATATGCGAAAGTGCATGAATAAAAAGTTATTTAATTTACATAAAAATTTCAGAACGTATGCAATTTACTATCCCGGACAACTTACTTAAGGCATAAACATTAAATTGGCTTAGTAAATTTTTGATTTAAATATATAGATACGGTTATCTATTAGAAAAGTAATAAGTTTGATACTTTTTTGTATATGAGCAATTTATAATATTATATGTAAATGACTTGGTCATTATTTGATGGCCTGGGGTCATTTAAAGTTTAATCAAATGGCCGGCTCAATTACCATCCCTGGTTCCTGGTATACCATTTTCAATTCGAACATGACAGTTGACATAAGCCTTTAGCAGTAGAATTAGAATTTTCATTTATTAGCTTTCAAATTCATTTGATATGTTGTTTGTTGAGTCTACGTACATAAATAAATAAATAAATAAATAAATAAATTTATAATCTGTTACGTCACTGCGTGAAGTGTATGAATTTTTTTAAGGTGAAGATTTTACTTTCGTAGTCAAAACGATACTTCTTTCAATAAAAGATTGCGGAGTTATAGTAATAGCCCTATGCTAAATTATCAACTAAAAATAATTACAACGTATTAGAAATTATTTATAATATATTAATGTTACCCATCAATGCAGTACTGTATTTGATAAATGAAATTATCAAAATTTTCGCACAAGTATCAAGCCAATTAGATAAAAATTAAAAACTGTCATAAACCATTTTCTTATTGCAATCGTTTAGTAGTATCAATTTGAACCGAATTTCATTTACAATGCGGTTATATTGGATCATAAGAAATAATGAAAAAACATTAAATTTGCAGATTCACTAACAGAGTGTCCAGTATTTAAATAACGTTAATGATATTGCAACAACTATATAATTAAATTCGACAGGATTTACTTTAATTATATAGATTTGTAGAATAAAAATAAAAAATTTATAGAATTTAGTTTGATTGTTTCTGCGAATGTCATTAGAGCTACTTTAAATGTTAGAAATAGTTTCAGATCTTTCAAGTAAAAGCAAATATCCATATATTGGTACACCGCAAATTAAAATTCGAAAGATTTTATTTATTATTATAGGTTGTATTACTCATGGTTGCGCAAAATTCTATAAATATAACGTTTAAGATGCGGATGCGGATCTAGATCTTTCTTTTTCAATACTCAAATAAAATGAAGAAAATCTATAATAATCTGCTTCATAATAAAAAATCAACTAACTTGGACTATCTTGACCTTGGATACAATTATGAACATGGAATAGGAATTGAAAAGGATG